GCCAGAAAACGTGTAAAACAATTAGGCCATTTGCAGGACACTCTGGAAACTTGCTGCTGCTCTCATGGGGTGGCCCAAACCCACCTGTAGAGTCATAGTCATGGTACCCACATATTCAAAACTCTTGCAGAATAAACATTCTCACAAGAGATGAATGAGGAAGGGCCTTTTATGGAGGTGCCCTTCACATGATGTTCACGGGGAGGTTGAATGCTCCAGTCACATGTAGAAAACATTTCACGCTCTGGATGAGAAGTCTCCTTCCAGCTCTGGGATTCTCTAACCCACTCATAAATCATACTTGACAAATGGGATGTCGGGAAGTGTTGTATCATGAGACGAGCTGTATTTAAAGCCCAAAGTGATAAAGGAGTCTGTCAGAAGAGCCTGAAAGCTGACAGTCTTTTTGGAGCCAAAGAACAAAGAAATGCTATGGCTCGCATCTTTCTGCCAAAAGCTCAACCCTGTGATACCCATGTATGTTCTGGGTGTGGCCCAGAGCTTTGAGCGCTGGACTTGAGTCCCTGGGGGCCAGAGGAGCCCACGGGTCTTAGAGCAAAGAGAGCTGGAAAAGAGGTATTTGCAATCACTGATCTGGTGTAGCACAGTAGAGGACTCCATTTCACTCTGAAAGGAGAAGAGGTTTTAGTTGGACACATGCGTGTTTTCTCGCAGCTCAAAAATAAAGTATGCGATGTTCAGCAAAATCTGGGAGGCAGGGTCTGACGGTTTTAGCCTGCTTTGTGAAGATTCCCTTAGTACTTGATCGTTTTTAACTCAAATTCACAAATGCTACAAGATAAAAAGCAGAAGGTCATCGTCTGTATCATTCCTCTTTTTTTTTTTGGAGAGGTTTTTGCTATAGGGCGTGTGCACTCGCCAGAAAGACAGACAGAGACAGAGAGACAGAAAGCGAGAAATCACCCCCCCGGGGGGATGCTCACACTGCAATCCCCTCTCTTCCATTCTCCTCTTGGGATCTTGGGCACACACGCACACGCACCCGGTGTGAGTTCAAGCTGCCGGGTCTGGGACTCGAACCACAGTCGACTACATGGGAGTCCAGCAACATAACCATTACGCTAACTGCTGGTCCCTTGTCTGTATCATTCTTGAGAGAGATGTGTCATTAAAAAAAATTTGTTTTTTGGCTTCAGCAGTTATCATTTATTGGGTTGGGATTAGTGCTGGTGCTTTATAAAGAGCATTAATGACCCACTAACTTTCTCATTTTCTAGGAAAGGCATTTGTTTTACTTTGATCTAATAATGTGCACAGTATCACCTAAACTGGAATCAAAAACAAAAACAAAAACCAGGAAAAAACAGCCAGCCCCATAGCCTAATGGTTAAGGGAACCATATCCTACATAGCTGACCATAGTTCAAATCCCAGCCCCGGCGGCTTGAAATACAACTTGGCCATGTGTGCATGTGTGTCCCAAATCCCAACAGGACAGAGAAATGGAAAACAGATTGCAGCACAGCCACATCCAATTGGAGATGTTTTCTCCCTCTCCACCACACCCGGCTCCCTGTCTCTTTCTTGCAAGCACAAGCGTCCTCTGGCAAAATTGGGTTGGGGTCTGTGTCTACAAAACAAAGCCAGTTCCTGGTCCACACCAGGCTCAAAGCCATGATCCAGGGCTTGCCAGCATTCTGCTGTGATCCCCTCGATCAACTGGCAAAGCCGGGGGTGGAAAGCACCCTTAGGAGAGTGGACCATCACTCTGTGACAACAGGGATCATGTCCATCTTTTTCATTGTTATATCCCAGCAACCAGGACAGGGCCTGAAACATAGCAGGTTGTTAGTACATATTTGTGGAATAAATGTATTCTTCCCTACAGTACCAAGAACCTATATATCTCCTATTTCCCTTTTTCTTTACTCCAAGTACCATTTTCCAAAGATATCTACTCTTAAGTATTTCCTGTTTTACAAAATGAATTTAGAAGAGAAAGAACCTTCATATGAATGAGATAGAAAAATGGTGATCAAAATAGGAAAACTGACTAACATCTTAAAACAAGGGGCAACAGGGAACCAGCAGTTAGCGTAATGGCTATGTCGCTGGACTCCCACGTAGTCGACCGTGATTCGCGTCCCGGACCCAGTGGCTTAAAACTCACGCTGGGCACGTGTGCGTGCGTGCCCAAGATCCCAAGAGAAGAATGGAGGAGAAGGGATTGCGGTGTGACCATCCCCCCTGGGGGGGTGATTTCTCGCTTTCTGTCTGTCTCTCCCTGTCTGTCTGGCGAGTGCATGCGCCCTATAGCGAAAAATCTCTTAAAAAAAAAAAAAAAAACAAGGGGCAACATTCCCTCAGAAGTCAACAGCAATGATCAGAAAGGGTGTGATTTGGAAAGACAAATGTGTATCACCTCTGACTCAACGACTAGGGGGACAGTTACCTGGCAGAAGCTGTTGAAGGAGGGCATCACCGGTGAGAACAGACCCCTCTCCTTGCAGCCATGATCCATTGTGTGTGTGTCCTTTATAGCAGGAGAGTTGCTCCTGTCCTTCTGTGATCCCCACACAAAGACCCACCTTTTTCTTTTCTTGAGAGAGAGAGAGAGAGATTTTTGCTAAAGGGTGCATGTGCTTGTCAGAGACAGAAATACAAAGAGAAAGAAAGTAAAAATTACCCCCAGAGGGGATGGTCATGCCACAATCCCTTTTCCATTCTCCTACTGGGATTTTGAGCACACATGCACCCAGCATGAGTTTTAAACCTCCAGGTCTTGGACTCAAACCACAGTTGGCCATGTGGGAGTCCAGTGGCATAACCACTGCACTACGTAGGCCCCAAGGACCACTCATTTCTAGTGGAAATGACAGGTGCAAAACCTCAAATGTTCAGGAGCTAAAGGAAAGAAGGATCCTGCAGCTCCTAGAGCCCTCCCCCGCCTCTCTCCGTGAGGCCTTATTCTCCAGTCTAGAACACCAATTTCTGCCAGGACAATGGTGGGCAATGAACCCAAAGATGACTTGTATCACCGGAGGCATCAGCTCTGATTCTGAAAGCAAGCAAATGAGGAAAAATCCACAAGTCCCCTTTCTCTTCGATGTTACCTTGCTAGGACATTTGTCCCCATGCTCA